TGGGGCCAATCTGCTGGGGAAGACAGGTTGAAATGGAATTACAAAGAGTTTGCCTTGGCAAAGTAAAGGAGCCCCCCCCCCCCCGCTTCATATGATACAGGGGTGAAAGAAGCAGAAGTCATCTGTTGATGTGAGATGAGATGGGGAAAAGAGGAACTCTCAGAGAATGACCTCACTTTTTTCAGTAAAATACGAGAAAAGATTCTCATTTGAGAGGATGGTGGGAGGGAGAGTCATGAGAGGTTTGAGGAGGGATAAAACAGATTGGATGAGGCCCTGTGGTGAATAGGATAGTGAGTGAATTAGGGAGGTCTAAAATAATTGCACAGAAGCAGTGAGGGCCCGGTTGAGATTATGTAACATAAATTTATATTGGACTCAGTCAGAACAGGTTCATGATTTTCTCCCCCGTTGTTCAACATCACATACATAGGAGTGAAGGCAGGGGACAGTGGGAGTGATCCAAGAGTGAGGTTTGGCAGGCACAATGGCTGATATGATAAGAGGGCCAAGGACTCAAAAGAAGAGGACAATGCAGAATCAAACTGGTTCACCAAGAGATAGAGAAAAGAGGAAAGTGTGGTTAGTGCAGGGGTTGGCCTGGGAGAGAACTTAGGGGTCAAAGGATAGGAGGTGACACTGGGGACAAAGAATAGGGTTTGGTATTGGAAGGTACAAAGAGAGATGGAATGACAATAGCTTATGATTGGATAAGGGGATTTCAGAACTAATGAACATGGACTTCAAGAGTTAGGTTCCAAGAAAATAAAGTGGTCTACAGAGTCAGAAGCTGCAGAGGTGTCAAATAGAATGGGAACTGAGAAGGTCATCAGATTTGACAACAAAGAGATCCTTTAGTACCTTTTGACAGCTTCAGTTGAAAAATGAGGTTCTGAGCCATAATGCAGAGGACCTAGAAAAGAGTGAAAGGAAAGGAAGTGGAGGTGCTTAAAGTAGATGACTCTTTCCAAGGTGAGCTGAGCCGAGGAGAAGAGATGTAGGACAGTAGTTAGTAGGTATGGTAGGATCAAGTTAGGGCTTTTTTTAAAGGATGGGGAGACAGGCAATGGGGGGAAGAATGAACCCATAAATAGAGAGATTGAAGATTGGAGAGGGGATGGTGTAGAGGCAATCTGCTGGAGATGAGAGGGGATCAAAGATCCATGTTGATGGGTGGGTCTTTCAAGAAGAAGGGAGGAAGCCTTATATGTAAAATTGAGGGGAGATGTTAGGACAATGTGAAATGACAAGAGGGAGCTTGTGGTAAATGGCCTAGATTTTTTCATTGAAGTTTGAGGCAAGGTCCTCAGGTGAGAGGGTAAGGAGTACCACAGAGAAGAGACAAGAAAAGGTTTGGAATAGTTATTATTGTGAGTGGGATAGAGAATCAATTATAGAGGGGTAGAAGAATTGCCTTGCTATAGTGAGGGCCCATTTAAGACTACACAACATAATTTCATAATGGACCCAATCAGTATGGTTTCATGACTTCCTTAACTTCCATTCAATAGCAGCCTATAGTGGTAAGAATGACAACACCAGGAATGCAACATCATCTATTGGGAGCCAGGATTCAGTGTCAGAAGTTACAAGACAAGAATACTTCTAAAATGAAGAGTATTAATTATAATAGTAGCAAGCTTTGTTAGATGTCAATTGCACTTGTTATCCCAACTTTATGTTTAATCTTTAATAATTAACTTTAATATTATTATACTGAGCTCTATGGCTATCCAGGAATATGTTTGGATAGCTTCCTCTTAATTAATAAAATGACAGTCTCTTTCCATTCATCAAGCCCTCACCCCAGTTCACTAAATTTTATTTGTTTAATGGGCAGATGAAACTTCCTTTCACTGTAATAGTTACTAATACCTCTCTACATATTAAATCTCTTAATTTCTTAGGATTAAAAAACTAAGAAAGTTACTGAATATACAGTTTAACAGAGAGATCAATAATAAGACACCTGCAATTGTAATATTTTAGTTGTGAGAACAATCATAACTAGTTACCTCAAACCGTCACTGTAGAGATTGATCACTTCTCTTGACTTCTGAAATTACAGTTCCACATCTTTTTAGTTCATTAAGGATAACTTATAAAGTGTCTTTGCAAGAATTCTCATTATCTTTGAAAAGTAAAGGGAACAATAGTTTTATAAAGAAAGGCACTATCTCCATCTTGTTTCTATCTGTTTTGTCTTGAGAAGAATGTGACAAGAAAAGGATCTTTTCAGTTCTCTCAAGCCCTCATCTAAAAAAAAATAATTCTATTGATGTCTTTCGTTTTCATATTGCCCAGATTCTATCCATACCCTTCCTCCTCTCCTCTCCCAGATAAGCCCTCAGTCTTAATAGTCTTTCTCCAGATACAGTTGTAATAAAATTCCCTTTATGTTTCTTCAAAAACCTATACTTGAGACTTTTTTTAAAAAGCACTTTATATTTTCTCTACAAGCTCCTCACAGATCCCCACAAAGCCAAGTTAAATACACACACAAACACACTTATTCTCTCACCCTCTAACTCTATAGGAAGAAGCATCTCAAAGAACAGTATTTTTCAAATGTAATTCTTAAAGAGACATTAACAGTTTTTACAACCTTTGAGAGACTTTAAAAAGAGTTGTTACAGCTGAGCCAGAGCTCCAAAAGACAGAGTGGAAAAGGTAGTCAGAAGTGGAGTGAGTCATTAGGAGGGTGGGGGGAAGGCCATGACAGAGCATGTTGGGATATGGGAGGCAGGCCAAGGTCTCCTCTGGCATTTAGTAGTTCAAGATCATTGCCATGGGGAGAGTGAGGTAGAGTATGCTAACTACTGGAAAATAATTCCAGGAAGAGAACCAATGAATGAGACTAATTCTGCTGATGAAAGGTGATAAGAAGGCTCCAGGCCTCCACATGGGTGGTCCTAGCCCCTGGATCTCACCTTCATTGAAAAAAATTGGAAAAAAAAAACCCAAAGAAAAGAAAAGAAAAAAAATTGAGGTCATTCTCATAGAGCTTTCTCTTCTTCATTCCTCTTCTTCCATTACTCAGACTTCTTCCTTCACTAGCTCCTTCTTCCAGGACTTTTCCTTGCCAGGAACAACCCATCAATCAACACAAGACCCTTGATCCCACTCCCTTCTGTCTTCTTCAGCAGATTGCCCCAACTCTCTGTCTTAAAACTTTAATTTCTCCCTCTTTCCTGGTTCTGTCCCTGCTGCCTGCAAACATGCTTAAGTCTCCCCTCCACCCCCATTCTTCAACACCCCCCCACCCCACTATCACTACTTAACCTGAACATCCTCACTATAGTCCTATATCCCTCCTCCACTTCTCAAATAAACTCTTTGAGAAAGCCATCCACACTAGATGCCACCTCTTCCTCTCCTCTCACTCTCTCTTAAACCCTCTACAATTTGGCTTTTCAAAAAATGGCCTTTCCAAAATTAACAATGGTCTCTTAATTGCCAATTCTAATGAGAGCATTATCAAAGAAACCCAGGAAGGAGAGTATCGAAAAGGATGGCATGCTGACAACATATCTGGGAAGCATTATCCCCCATCCCTGAAAAAGTGCTCTCAAAGTATTTTCATAGCAGCATTTTCATTATTTAAAAAAACCTGGAAATAAGCTAACATATCCAGTAATAGGGCAATCATTAAATTAATTATGTAATAGAGAAACATAACAGAATTTAGTCTGAAAAGTATGAGAAATATAAAGGAATTTGGAAAGATTTTTATAGAATCACGCTAAGTAAAACAAGAAAGTAGAAGACCAAAGGACATACTTACTTTTTAATGAGAAGAAATGGGAATAAATTGACAATCCTGATGCAACATCATAATATCTTTTCAGTCAATCCTCTGGAGACTAAGTGAGAACTGACTGAAAAGATGTTATGATGTTGCCTGCTTTAAAATCTATGTATTTAAATAGAATAATTGGAAAGCAAGCTTAGCTATTTGTGTTCATGCTTTAAATTATTTTTTAAAAAATTTTAAGAAGGAGGGAGTTGGTCAACAGTGGTAGGTATAGTAATATAGGTGAATGTAGACTGAGAAAAGGGCAATTAAAATGTCATTAAGGACTCTGGAGAAAGGTATTTCAGTAGAGAAGTACAGTAGGAAACCAGACTGCAAAGCAGAAAGGAAGTGGAGACAGTCTGTGTAGACAACTCTCTTTAGAAGTTTAGTAGTAAAAAACTCTCTTTAGAAGTTTAGTAGTAAAGGAGAAGAGAGTTATAGGAGGATAGAAATGATGAAGAGGGAAATGAGCAAAACCAGAGAACATTGTGTACAGTAACAGCAATATTGTTTTAAGAACAACTTTGAGCGACTAAATCATTTTGACTATTATAAATACATAATTTAAAAATAAAGGACATATGAACAAGGCGTTATCTGCATCCAGAGAAGGAACTGATAAATAGAAGTATATATAGAATAATTTTAAATCCATATATCTATTTGTGTCTAATGGTAACCATTTCTAGGGTGGTGGGGGGAGAAAAAAAGGACATTTAAATGACAACTTTGTTGTATATTTGGGAAGAATAGCAAGTTGTACATGGAAGATTCACAGTTTCAGGTGCAATCATCTTTTTTTATTTTATTGTACTGTGTTATGGAAATGCTTGTGTTGTTCCGTGAATTGAAAAGAAAATAAAATTTTTAAAAAAGGGTTGAGGGTCAGTGGGAACAAATAAAAGGGATTTATTTAGTACAGAGGAGTATGCTTGTTGGGGGAAAGGGAGGAGCCAATAGAGAAGGAAAGGTTAAAAATAGGAGGAAGAGAGTGATAGATGAAACAAGGTCTTGGAAGAGAGATCCATAAACAGGAGTGGGGAACCTTTTCATCCACAATATTCAGCTGTAACCAAATAAGGCTGCATTCAAGAAACTTCAATTAGATATGTTTTAAAATGTACATTATTTTGTAAAAAGTCTAACTACTATATACTTAATTTCAAAAAATAAAAGCTATTTATTAATTTTAAAGTTAACTAACCTTTTAATGACTTTGTTGTGTCTGCTTTTTGTTGGAAAGCACTTGAATATTTGGCTTCAGCACAGAATTCTGCAGTTTCTGTTGATCCTCTAGATGGGCATCAGTCATCTGTGACCTCAAGGGCGTCTTGATTTGTATTAGTTAGGAGAATGTAGATTTGCAGCAATAAGTGGTTGAAAAGCAATAAACCATTTTTTGGACATCTTGCCAAAGGAGTGGGAATTTTACTGCATTTATCCATATTTCAATTGGATCTTTCTTAGCATCAAACAATGACTTTAAAATGTCCTCTACTGAGAGCTCAATTGATTCCATCTGTAGTTCTCTAGGTGACTTGGTGATATCAAGTAGGTAAGGCTGAAATGCTAATTTGAGTGTAATGTCATGATTCTCAGAGTATGTGAACCTTTCATTGTATTCTCCAATTAATAGGTCTATAACAGCTGCATATTCTTTAAATGATTTGCATATATCATCTTGTTCATCAATGACCTTTGCTAACTAGGGAAAATGTTCATCTGAAATTTCTTTTTGAAGAAGAAGTATTTTGAAAAAGATAGCTTTTTTCAAAATGCTTGGATTTTTTTTTCACATATCATATATAGACTTAGTTTTACCTTGAGAAGAAATATTCAAGTTGTTTTGATTTGACACGATGTCACACAGAAATGCGGCATTCCTATAGAAATCTTCTTTCAATAATTTACATTGCTGGGGCAGCTATGTGGTATAGTGGATTGAGCACTGGCCCTGGAGTCAGGAGAACCTGAGTTCAAATCCAGCCTCAGACACATAACACTTACTAGCTGTGTGACCCTGGGCAAGTCACTTAACCACATTGCCTAGCCAAAAAAAATAATAATGATGATTCACATTGCTGATTCTGTTCTTCATGAAATTTAACTATCTGTTCTCAAAGACATAAAATTTTGTCTAACACCTCTCCCTGCGATAGCCAATTCACTCCAGAATTATATGGCAAATTCATGCTGAACACCTCATCCTTCAACTTTAGCATGTTACAAAACTGACAATACCGTGTTACATTTGCACAAATATAGTTAATGATACTTATAACTTGTTGCAAAGTGTCACTTAAAATAATAGCTTTAGCACAGAGATTTTGCTGATGCAAGATACAATGAAAAGAAATGAGAGCATCTGGATCTGTTAATACTTTTTTTTTAATCTGTGCAATAAACTCTTCATGTTTTCCTGTCATGGAAGGTGCACCATCTGCACATACACTCACTAAATTTACCAAATTCAGTCCAATTTCACGACATTTATCTTGAAAGTTGTTGAAAATATCTATTACCTGTGTTCTGTTCACAAAAGTACCCAAAGCGAGTAACTCTTCATAGCAAAGAAAATATTCTGTTAAAATCCAAATGAAGTATAAAACCTGCATTGGGTCAGTAGTATCAGTTGGTTCATCCAAAGGGATTGAATAATATGTATTTTCTTTTTGAAGTATTGCATGAAGTTGTTCTGTTAAATTGAAGGCTACTTCGTGCTGCCCATCAGTTACGGTTCTCCTAAAAAGAGGAGAATGTTATTGGGGTCTAAGCATCCTACAACTTCCAACAACACATTCTTTCACAATTTCTACATCATTGAATGGCTCATCTTTTTTCCCAAGTATGTAAACTACTTTATAAGTTGCTTCGGTGGCATTATTTCTGGACCTTACTGCTGCTTGAAAAAATTGTCTTTGACAGAAAATCCTATTACAGCAGAGGGAAAGAAGGGGGGGGGGTGAGCATTGTTTGAACTTTGCTCTCATCAGATTTGGCTCAAGAAGGGAATAACATAATCAGTTAGGTATGGAAATCTAACTTAACCTATGGGCAGTAGGAGGGAAAAGGGGAAAGAAAAGGGAGGGAGGATGGAAGGGAGGGAAGAAGCAGTGGGGGTGAAGGCGAAGAGAGGGGAGGGGGATAATAGAAGGGAGGAGAGACTGAAGGAATCGGTGGTCAAAAGAAAAGTACTGGTGAGGGGGGGAAGGGAGAGAGTAGAAAGAAAAGCATAAATGGGGGGAAAAAGATGGAGAAAAAGACACAGATAGTAATCATAACTGTGAAAGTTGAATAGCTATCTTTTTTTTCTCTTCTGTTGAGTCTTGTTTCCTCTTTCTGATGGTTCCTCCTATTGGTTTTAATTTTTACTTTCAACTTCACTAATGTGAAAATATGTTTAATAGGAATGTAAACGTATAGCCTATATCAGATTGTGCACCGTTTGGGGGAGGGTGGTGGGGAGGAAGGGGAGAAAAATTTTAAACTCTAAAGCATATGGAAGTGATTGTTGATAACTCAAAATAAATTAATAAAATATGCAAAAAAAAGGAAAAATTGTCTTTGCTTTTGCTTTTCATCTTTCAATTTTGGCAATACAACCTTTTGCATCTCTCCCTTTAATTTGAAATATTTGTGGTCTTTATGAGTGTTATAATGCTGATGAGCATTGAATTTCTTTAATGTTGATATTGCAGTATCACAAAGCAGACAAATCATCTTATCTTTAGCAGAAACATGATAATATTGCAATTCCCAATTCTCATTGAAAAATCTGTTTTCTTCAGCATTCTCTTGGCTTTCTTTGACACAACAGGCTGTTAGGCAAATAAAATTTAAAAATACTGTTGAGCTATGCAACTATTCACAAATTCCACTTCAAACAGAAACACAGTGCAGTGTCATCAAAAGCTGGTAGCAGACTGGCAGTACTCAACCCCCATAAACTCTCACCAACCAGCCTCATGCAGTTATGGAGCCAGTCAGGTGGGGGAAGTTAGAACTAAACAATGAATGTAGCAGCCATCAATTCAACCCTTATGGCTTACTAATGTTCTAATTGTGTCAGTCAATCTGGGAGACTTATTTCATTGAAACTTATTTTAGGGGACAGCTAGGTGGTGCAGCGGATAGAGCACCAGCCCTGAAGTCAGGAAGACCCGAGTTCAAATCCGGCCTCAGACCAAACACTTGACACGTAGTGGCTGTGTGACCCTGGGGAAGTCACTTAGCCCCAAATGCCTTAAAAAAAAAAAGGAAACTTATTTTATTCTTTGGTCTTTTAAATATGTTCATTTTAAAAATAAAATAAAAATATAAAAGATAAACAAAAATGTATTAATAAAAATAAAAAAGATTTGTTCTGTAAAAATTGGATTATGTAAAAAGGCCATACTTAAGGACCTAGAAGGCCCCAGGTGGCCTTAAGGCCTTAGGTTCCCCACTGCTGGCATAAACCTTAGCAAGGAAAAGAGTAATCTTATCCTCTGAGATGAGACAGAAGGAGAAAAGAAATAAGGATAAACTTGTGCTTAGACATATAATCTCAGCAATGGTATAATTATTATAAATAATAACTGCCATGTATATAATGCTTTATGGTTTGCAAAGCATTTGAACCACAGCATTTCATTTGACCCTCACAACAACCTTCCAAGCATTATTATCTCTACTTTACAGATGTGGAAACTGAGGATCAGAAAGGAGAAGGGGCTTGCCCATGATCACACAATTAGTAATCAGAAGAAATAGGATTTGAATCCAGGTCTTCTGATTCTGCAGACAGCTCTCTACCCATCCTGTCCACGGCAAATCCACTCAGTGCACTAGAAGACTGACTCTGGGTTTTTTTAATATTTCATGGATGCCAGTGTTGACTTGGATTACATGACTGGCCCATCTTCTTTTCTGCTCACTCATGTGCTGGCTGATGACTTTTACACCACTTCTCACAGACAAATCATCACTGTTAATATTCTGCAACCTGCTTATGTCCACTATGGAGCTCTCCATTGCCCTATACATCAAAGCAGATTCTTGGGGTATGTGGTGTTGTGAGTCACAGCTATGGGGCATCACAAGGAAAATACTGCTGTTAAAAAGATAGGCTTTTGTGACAGGGATAGGATCATTGAAAGTGTTGAGTAGTACCCCAAAAATAAGTCAGTCCAATGTCCTCCTGTTCTGCCCTTCTGAAATGACTTGTCTAAGATATATGTGCTAATGGTCATCCTTTATGCACTCTGCTTCAGCTAAGCTTTCCTAGAACTAATGGTTCCCCAAACCCAGTACAATTCCCATCTCCTGCTTATCTACTGTTGCACAAGCTTCCCTCTCAATCTGGAACATGGTCCTCCTCATCATCACTTCTTAGAATCCCTAACTCAGGGTTCAGCACAGGAGCTACCTCCTACAGAAAGCCCTTCCTGTAGGGTTTTGTAAGTGTTCTTTATCTTCTGAAATTATTTTGCATTTATGTAAAAATGTGGATATTTTTTATCCCCCACAGTTAAATATAACCTCTTTGAGGGCAGGGACTAGTTCATTTTTTGTCTTTGTATTCCAGCATCTAGCAGAGTTGAGGAACAGAAAGGAGCTATAGAGAAAAATACACACATACACATACACACATATCATAAAGGATAAAGTTTATACAGAAAGGATAATTTTAGATGCATATATAATATATATTTTATATGTAGAAATAGTTTGTGTATTAATATATGCTATATTTATATATAATATGTATTTTAAACATATCTATAATATATATGGGGCAGCTGGCTAAACATGAGTCATGCAGGCTCAATTACGTCAATTATCTATAGTGTGTATTTTATATATTATGTAATATATATTTTAAATGTATATATAATACACGAGGCAGCTAGGTGGTGTGGTGGATAAGCATTGGGCTTGGAATTACCTTCCTGAGTTCCAATCTGGCCTCAGACACTTCCTAGCTGTGTGACCCTGGGCAAGTCACTTCACCTTGTTTGCCTCAGCTTCCTTATCTGTCAAATGAGCTGGAAAAGGAAATGGAAAATCACTCCAGTATCTCTGCTAAGAAAACCCCAAATGGAGTCACAGAGTCAAATACAAAAGAAAAATGACTGAACAACAACAATGTAAAAGACATAACTTAAATGGCACAAACATTTAATTCAGATAGTAAAATTTTCGAATAAAAAGGGAATCCAGTAATAAAAGCATGATCTATCCCTATACACAAGTGGGTGCCTCTTCCCCACATGGAATGGGTGAATTAAGCCTTCTGGGTAACCTTGAGAATGAGGAAAGTTTTCCTCAGCTCATGGGTAGTTAGGATGAGGAACTATTAGTATCTTTCACTTAATTGGCATTGTGTACTTAGCAATTGGGGAGCTACTGGACTGGGAAGATGATCTCAACTTGACTTTAAATTTACCCAGATCCTGCTCAGACTTCTTGTCCCTTCTCTCCCTCAGCTCTAGCAACCCCACTCTGATTACCACCTCTAAATTCACTTACCTGTACCTGTTCCCTGCCCAGGGCTCTTCAGGCAGGACTCCATAGCCACTGAGCCCAATGGCCTCTTCATTTCCCTTACTATGTAATTCCTTTCACTTTCTTCCTTCATGTTCATTAAACACCACATTTTAAACCTTGTTAAACATCCTACTCCCCAGCACCAAAATTCTTGCATGGTGACATTACCACACTCTCCAATCAGATGTCAGCCTTCATGTCCAGAATCAACCTTCTGGATATGTATTCCAGAGAATTCCCATCATGGGATGGGAGCCAAGAATTATGTGAAATGAAGTCTTGGGCTCATTCATGCCCACTTTAACTCAAATGTGAAATTAAAGTAGACAAATCTCATTTTCAGTGTCCCTGATCCTCCCAACTACCTTTCAGCAAAGGGAAGACCCAGTGTTCAGCAGGGTCTCCCAGCCCTATAGCAATTTCTTATTTTCCTCTCTCTCACCTG